TGTCCCCGTTCTCCCTCCACCATCCCTGCGCCGGTGACCGCAAGGCCGCCCGCCGCCTGCCCTCCCTCCTCACCTTGCTCTCTGCCCCTGCTTCTTCGGTTCCCCACAGATCCTCTGGACCTTCTCCATCTACCTGGAGTCGGTAGCCATCCTGCCCCAGCTGTTCATGGTGAGCAAGACGGGGGAGGCCGAGACGATCACCAGCCACTACTTGTTCGCGCTGGGTGTCTACCGCACGCTCTATCTCTTCAACTGGATCTGGCGCTACCACTTCGAGGGCTTCTTCGACCTCATCGCCATCGTGGCGGGCCTAGTCCAGACTGTCCTCTACTGCGATTTCTTCTACCTCTACATCACCAAAGGTAGCCAGCATGGAGGGCCGGCCGCGGGGCATCCTGCCCCGTCCGCAGCTCCCGCCCTCTCTGGGGCCCAGGCTCCGTCTCCCCAGCCCTGTAGCCCTCGAGGGAGGGCAGGCTTCCTCTCCCAGCTTCTGGGGTCCCAGGCTCACCGCCCTCCTAGGAATTCGGACCTCCAGCCCCTGCCTACCTAAGAAGCAAGGCATTGTTCTCCTAGCCCGTGTGTCCCTGAGGAAAGAGCAGCGAGGCATCGGAGGTGTGGGGTGGGGTGGGGGCTGCTGCCTGCTTGCAGAGCAGCGTCCTCCCTTGACCCCACAAAGAGCGGGCATCCCTCTCCCCAGCCCCTGGGCCTTTGAAGAAAAAAAGACAGGACAAAGAGCGGGCAGGAGTGGCCTCTGACTTTTCCTCTCTCAGAATCTGTCCTAGGCCCTCCTCCCACCCTGAGGTTCCAGGTCCCATAAAAGATCAGAATTCCTACCTCCCCAACCCCAGCAGCGCTCAGAAGAGGGAGAGGCTCCTCTCTGTTGCTTGGTCTCTGTCCTCACCCTCAGGGACTCAGGCCCACCAAGATTCATTCATTCATTCATTCATTCATTCATTCATTCATTCAACCATCCAACAAATGTGTTGAGCACTTTCTGTGTCCCTGGCCAGGGCTAGGCTCTGGGCGTGCAGCAGAAGGAAAAAAGGTGGCCCTCCCCCCCCCGTGTTCTAATCTGGAGGTGATGGTGAATGAACAAGGAGAGAGAGATGGTTGCAAACAGCAAGAGAGAAAGAAACCAGGGTTGGGTCAGTGAGCAACCGGGGAGGGTGAGGGGGCTGCTTTATATGGGGGGGTGGTCTGAGGAGGTGGCGATGGGAGCAGGGAGCTGAGAAATGAGGAGGGAAAGAGAGGACAGTAAGGGCAGAGCGTGGAGGCCAGCCTGCGGCTTCCAGGCTGGGCGGGGGCACCTGGCCAGCCCTACCAGGCCCTTGGACCCTGTCCTGAGACCCCTAGGTGCCTCTTGCCTGCATCACTCAGCCCACCCCTGGGCAATTCAGGCCTGTCCTCCCAGCTTATGATGTGGGGCCCTGCGGCTGACCCTCCCGGCCGCTCCACCAGCCGAGCATCCAAGCGGGCGTGGGAGGCTGTCCCCTCCACAGGGCCCCCCGGTAATGCCTGCCCGCTCTGTCTCCTCGCAGTCCTGAAGGGGAAGAAGCTGAGTTTGCCGGCGTAGCCCTGGGCCCGGCCATCCCTCTCCTCGGCGGCCCGCGAGAGGTGGAGGAAGGCGCGAACAACGAAGAGCCTTCCCGTCCAGGGGTGACTTTTTAAAGAACCAACCTCTCCGCACTCCCTGGCCCCCCTCCTGCCAGGTTTCAGGGGGGTGGTGGAGGACCCAAGTCTTGGGGAGCTCAGGACCTGGGGTGTTTGTAGTTTTTTGCCTTTTAGAGAAGAAAAAAAAAATCTTTCCACTATTTAGTTTTTGATTCTGATGACTCCTTTCTCTTCTACTCTCTGGCCCCTGATTTTTATAAACTGTTTTTGAGTGTCCTGTGGGGCGGGGCAGGGTCGGAGATCTTTTCCCTCCCCCAAAGCCCCTTGGCTCCCTTGCAGACCCTACCCCCCAGCTCTGCCCGTTGCCAAACACTAAACCTGCACATACCCGCCTGTCTGACCTCCCACCGTGGCCAAGAACACAACCTCCCCACCAAACCCCCCAAAGTTCAGGACTGGGGAGAGGGAGGAGGGGAGGGACAGTCTCCCTGACTTTTCAATATAATTTTTTTCCAGAGTTTGGGGTTTTTTGGTCTTGTCCTCATTTTTTGACAATTTAGCGGGGGGCGAGGGGGCCAGACATGGCAAAGGGGGTTGGCCTGAGGGTCACTGTGGCTCAACAGCCACATTTTTGTACAGAGTTGATGGTTGATTCTTTGTTCTCTTGAAATAAACCGAGGAAAATGATGCCTCTTTCGCTACTCCTTGCCCTCTCTCTGGTGTTTGTGGGGTCCCTCCCGGCCCCTCTCTCTGCTTCTCCTTTATCCCATCGACAGCCTGCAGGCGATTGAGGCCTGGGAGGAGCAGACAGGTGAGAAACTGGGTTCCCCGAGTTTGCTCTGAGCAAACCTCTGAGCTGCACCCTCACTCCTCACGGATGTGATGGGGAAGAGGTTTCGGGGGGCGGGGTGGTGGGAAAGAGAAGAAAATCTTGAAGATTCTCTTTATCTTGGCACAGAACTTTCCTGGCAGTTCTCCCGAATCCCAGGACTGCAGAGGACCTTCAAGAGCATGTATTGTAGAGGTTACCAGTGGGCAGCCCCTGTCCTGCCCTCATTTGGCATTTTGTTGAGCCACTCTGTTTTCTTTAAAAAGAAAAAATAAATAAATAAATGGAATCCTAAATTGCCAGCCTTTAGAAATCAGATTTCCACATTGAAATCTGGATTTCTGGCTTCTCTTGAAAAAAAATCCATCAACCTGACAATGCTGGGTCCTCGCTTCCGGGTGGCAACAGATGGCTGGAGCTGAATGGAAGAGATGTGAGCCTTCCATCACCATCCCCAGGACTTGGCCGAGGGGTTGCTACCATTTATTATCGGGCTGACACGGGCATGTTTTGTTTTTGTTTCATGGAGTTAAAAGAAAAGCCAAATATTTTCCACGTCTCCCTCCTGATCGGCTTCACACCTGGCCTATTATCTCCTTCACTTGCGTTAGCTGCCTGGACCTTGTCAGGCTTTTGGAGTTTTGCCCCCTGGTTCAGGATGGCTCCCTAGATGTCCGCCAAGACCTTCCCGAGCCATGTTCAGTTCTGTCGGATGGCTCTGGAAGCTTTGGCAGGTGGGTAGCTGGAGTTTCCCAAGCCCGCGTGCCTGGCAGTGTGTGTTGCATGGATGAGGCTGCTGGACCCCAACAGCACCCCTGAAGGGGGGTAGTTTGAGTGGGAGGAGGAAACCAGGGCCTAGGGGCAAGGGGCAGAGGTGGCGTTTGTCCCTGAGCTTCCCGATGCCGCAGCCTGCGCATTTAGCCACCTCTGTGTAGTTTTTCAACTGTTTTTGCTTCTTTCTTGTAAGCCAAGGCACCTTCTGTTTACAGGAATTTTACCCAGAAGCCTGAGTGGGAAGACGGAGGAACAGGGCCGCTTGGGGTGATTCGGGGGGCGGGGGGGTGGCACCTCTCCGTGTGCAGTCTGAACACCATCAATCGAAATCTGGCCTGAGTCTTTAGTTTTCCAGCCAAGACAGCTTGGCCCGGAGAAATGAAGGGCCACATCCCAGCTTATCCAGCTAGTGACAGAGCTGGGACTAGTACTCAGAGACTTCCTGTTTCGAACCTCAGAACACTGCCCACTCCGCGGCCCAGCTGCTCTTTTCCCAAGATGCCCACAGGGACCATATCCTACTTATTTTTGTACCTTAAGGAGCAAGCATGGGGACTGCCACACAGGAAACCTCAAAAAAAAAAAAAAAAAGGGACCATAGAACCCCCATGTGACCCCCGCCCCCACGACTGGTATCCCTTTGTCCAGTTTGTAAATGAATGCTCTGCAGGCCACAGTGGCCCTCGTGTGGGTTGGTTTTGTTTGGCCTGCATAACATTAACAGTTTTTCTTTCTATTCGTTGCCAACAAACTCCACATAAAAAGAAGTGGATTTCTGATTGTTCTAGAAAAAAACAGAAGGTTCTAGAACTTCGCTGTCCCATACAGTAGCCATTGGCTCCATGCAACCATTAGCACTTGAAATGTGGCGGGTCCAGATTAAGATGGGCTGTCTGCAGATTTCAGAAATTTTGTAGGAAAGAATGTAAGAGAGCTCGATTTTTATACCTAGGACGTGTTGAAATAAAATAAATGATAATATTTTGGATATGTTGGGTTAAATAAAATACATGAAAGTTAATTTCACTTGTTTCATCCTACTTTTCTCAATGTGGCTACTAGACAGTTTAATATTCTGCGCCCCCTCCCATGGTCCCCTGGCTTGCATGACATGTTAATCGGACAGTGCTGCCCTAGACACCCCAGGCGCGTGGTGCTGAATGGTGGGTGCTGAGTGAAAGCTGCCACTCCGAGACATGGCCCCTGTCCCTGCTACTCCCTTAATGAGTGCTTCACTCACTGGGGTCACCTGCTCATCTTGTGCCCAAGTCCCCAGTTGCCTTCTGGGTTCTAGAATAAAATCCCTTCCTCTTCCCCAAGACAGTCTCGCAAATGTTTGCAGACAATGCTCTGCCCTGATCTCATTCACGGACTCACCGTCCCCTGTTCCTTGGTTTTGAGTTGGGTCTTGTCACTGGGGTGAGTGGAAGGGCTGCCCCCAGTGTTGGCCCTGGTTCTTCCTAGTGCTCTCTCCATGGGCAGAAGCATTTTCTCTCTGCATGTGAGCTTGCCCGACCTTGCATCAGGGCGCCTCGTGCCTCTTTCCTCTGGCCAGGGTGAGGATTGAAGGGGCCAAAAGCGATGTCCCCTTCCTGTCACTGGGGTGTGCTGTTGTCCCAGTGGCACCCAGATGGAGAGTCTGGGAGGTGGTATGGGAAATTTGGCCCCGTGCAGTGCAGAGACCCCTGAAGTGACCTCGTAGGATTTCTCCCCACCCCTGGCCACTCAAAAGACCAGAGAGGAACAGACATGAGAAGGACAGAGGGCTGTTTTCAGAAACCCTTCCGGAGGGAGGATTATCTCTTTACTGATGTGGAGGAGGATGTTCAGTTGTCGGGCATCATAGCGAGGCGGGGGGCCTTCGGAGTGGTCAGATAGGGGGGCAGGGCAGAACTGGCATAACTTGGGTTGTTGGGGCCAGTGGTGGGCGTGTTAGCAGGGCTGGCGGCAGAAGGTGGGGAGAGGGTGGTGAGCACCACGCCACCCTCATCCAGGGAGCGCTTGTAAGGGACGGAAGTATCATTCCGGAGATCGTGGAGGGCCGCGTAGGCCTGGAATATCTGTGGGCAGGAAAGGGCATGCCAGAGGCTGGCTTGGGTTAGGCAGGGGAGGAGAGGGACCGGGGCTGGGGACTGGCCTGGGAGGGAGGCCAGGGTACAGTTGTGCTCACTGCTCACTGCACAAGGGCACACAGCACGATGCCTAATGTTGGGCTGCATCTGCATGGGGTAAGGGGAGGCCTCTTTCCAGTTTGCCCAGTCACAGAGAAGACTAGCAGAGGCCCTGGGAGGAGCCCTCCCCCACTCCCAGGGGAGCTGAGTGAGCACGGGAATGTTCTAGCCCCCCAGCCCCGCCCCCCACAGGGGGCCCATCCTCACCCAGATGCAGATGGAGAAGAAAGCGAAGGTGATGGCGGCCTTGGCGCTGCTGCTTCCCAGGAGGAAGCCTTCGGGAGGCGAACGCTGCCACTGATTGGCCAGGAAGCAGAAACCCACGAACCAGACGCCTGTCCACAGGACTGGGGGGTCGCAGGAGAGAAGAGGGGCAGGGGGAGCCTGGCTCAGGGCGGGTGGGGCTGGGGTCTGGCCGGGTGGCCTTTCCCTCCCAGCCCTCCATAAAGCGCACTGCCGCGCTGTCCGCTACCAGAGCCCACTGGCCACGTGTGGCTGTCTGCATTTCAATCAATTAAAATAGGATTTAAAAACCCAGCTCCTCTGTTGCACTGGCCACGCTTCAAGCGCTCAGTGGCCCCATGTGGCCAGTGGCTCCCCTACTGGGGAATGCAGGTATGGGACAGTCCCATCTTCACAGAAAGTTCTCTTGGTCGGCCCTGGATTCAATAACCTTGAGGGCCCTCCCAGCCCTGAGATGCTGGGATCGGCCTGGTGCGGAGCGGGGAGGAGGAGGTGGGGAGGAGGTTGAGGTCGGACTGAGAGGAGGGAACCCCAGGGCCTGAGGAAAAGGAACTCATTTATTTGGCGCTTCCTGTGTGCCAGGCTCTATCTAGAGTACTGGGCAGTGGTTCGGAGGCGAGACTTTGCTTTGAAGCCTGGAACTGCCCCTCAGCTTCTGTGTGCCCAATTACATAATCTCCTCAAGCCTCAGTTTCCTCCTCTGCAAAATGGGGGTAGGAGCAGGCCTTCCCTCCTCAGGTGGGTCTGAGGAGTCCATGACACGAGGCACGTGGGGCCTCTGGCTCTGTGCCTGACATGTGGGAAGTGCCCAGAAAAGGTCAACATTACTCCAGGCCTCCTTTCTCTCCTTTCATGCTCCGAAAAAGCCCTGCATTGTGGAGGTTTTCATCCCAGCGTCTGAAGCTCAGAGAGGGGAAGAGAGCCGCTCGAACCCACAGGGCGCCCAGGCGCCCGAGTTGAGATTTCAAACTCAGGTTTGCCTGGCTCCGTGCTGGAACCCCACCTCCTGCCCCCGGGGGGCTTTTCAAGAAATGTTCTGTGAAGAAGGGAGGTGAATGCGAGGAAAAAGCAGGGCAGAAGGGAGGCTTCTAGAATTAGCCTGGGGGTCAGAAGAGGTAACCCTTACACTGAGTCTAAAGGATGAGTAATAATTCCCTGGGGGGAAACAGCAGGTGCAGAAGAGCTTCCAGAAGGGAGGGGTGAGGGCTCAGGTCACGTGTGGAGGACGGTGGGCCGGCTGGGTGGGGAAGGGAGGTGTCCCGGGGGCCCTAGGATCAGTCCCAGGGGACTCACCAGCCAGGATGAAGTCTAGGAGCTGGAAGGCCGTCTTGAAGCGGGTGTTGCCGATGCAGCTCTCGTGGGCGTCCAGGGCGAGGAAGGTCAGGCAGTTGAGGAAGGCCAGGAGGCCGGCTCCCACAGCGAAGCTGCAGGCCACGTTGTTGCTATTGAGGACGCAGTGGAGCTTCGAAGACTCAGTCTTGTTCTGGTAGCCGTCGGTCAGCAGGGAAGAGAAGACGATGAGGGAGAAGACCTGGTGGTGCAGGAGGGGGGTTCCCAGCGGACCCGAGCGGAGCTCAGCATTTACCCAAACCGTGCATCCTCCAGGGTCCCTGTCTGGGAATGGTGGGCCCCGCCTCCTATCCCTGTCACATCCTCAGGGCTTCCAAGATGATCCCTATTGCTCCTTACCCCTCTTCTCTCCATCCTAGTTTGGGCCTCATCCTCTCCCCTGTAGAACCTCCTTCCTGGCCTCCTGCCTGGCCTCCTGCCTCCAGTCTCAGCCCCTCTGCTTGTCTCCCGCAAGCCCCCACAGAGGTCTTTCACACCCTGCCTTCCTGCGTGGTCTGTACTGGACTCGCTCTTCCAATTTCATCTTTCTCTCCCCACTCCCTCGCCCTCTCCCCACCTCCCCCATGCTCCCCTTCTGCCACCCCAACCAGGTACGTGCCACCAAACCCGGGTACTAATACAAAATGCGTAGCGCAGCGCCTGGGACACGTGAGGAGCTCCGGAAGCATTTGCTACCCATGATTATCCTCTGCCTGCAGGCCCTTCCCTCAGCCAGCAACTTCTTCCTCCCCCCTCCCTGCTCACCTCGTTCCTCTTAATTTGTTAAAATAAATTTGTGAAGTACTCCAAACACACACACAAAAGTACAGGGAGAGATGTAACATCCAGTATCTAACAAACGTTACCATTTTTTTTTTTATCTTTTCTTTCTTTCCTTCCTTCCTTCCTTTTTTTTGCTTCAGGACTTTTTAAAAAAGCCAGCATAGCTTCAGTGATCCGGCAGCGTCTCGCCTGTACATGCTGCAGACAGCATCCTCTAGTACAACAGTCTGCGTCTGCGCTTGTCTTCTGCGGTGTTTACGTATTAAATGCCACTGAAGTACCCCACGAGCGCGAGCCCGAGCCTGAGCCAGCCTCACAGCCACCCTAGGATGTGGGTACTACTAACAGCCCCATCGCTTTAGATAATGGATCCAAGGCACCGAGAGGCTGAGGAGTTGCCCAAAGCCAATCGGCTGGCAGGTGCGGGTACCTGGGTTTGAATGGAAGCTGCCCAGCTCTGGAGCCTGCTTTAAGGCCCTGCTGTACTGCCTCAAGCTGAAATCAGCCGTTTGGAGGGCAGGGTTCCTAGCAGTGCTACTCAGTGAAAGGTTTAAGCTCCAGTGACTTGCCCCCAGATGTCACCATGCCATGGGGTAAGGTCCACGCCAGATATGGAGGGAACTGGTGTGTGTATGGTGGGTGGTAGGAGTTGCTCCAGGGAGGCTTTCTGGAAGAGGTGATGGCTGTACGGAGTGACGCAGGACGAGAAAAGTTGTCTGGAGGGCAATAGGGAGCCACAGCAGAGTTGCGAGCAGGGGAGGGCAGGGGCGGATTTGAGGCCTGGGTAGAGACAGACTGGAGGGGGTGAGACTGGAGGTCAGGAGGCCAGAGAGGAGGCTGTGGCCTGGGTCAAGGTTTGAGCCAATTCGGAAGTCGTGGGGTTGCATTTAGGAGGAAATAAGGTGAGGTCTGACTTGCACATTAAAGAATGAGGAGATTTTCAGGCAGACGGGGACGAAGGACATTCCGGGGGGGGCAAACTGTGTGTGCAAAAGCCAGATGCTGCAGAATGGGGCTCCTTCAGGGACTGGATAGAAATCTCACTGAAGGGATGGAGGGTGAGATGAGGCTGGAAAAGTGGGCCGGAGCCAGAGCCTCAGAGGCCTTGAATACCAGATGGAGGAGCCTGGACTTGGGAGCCATGGAAAGTGAAATTTCTTACTTGGATTTAACTTCAGGCGTGGAAGGGTTCTGAGCAGAGGGTGGCCGGGGTCAGACTTGGCCCTGGAGTCAGAGAAAAATCTCCAGGTTTGCGATGGGTTGGAGGGGGCAAGACGAGAGATAGAGAGAGAGAGAGAGAGAGAGAGAGAGAGAGGCCAACAGACCACAAAGGGGATTGGTGGGAAGGCCCAGGCAGAAAAGTTGAGGCCTGAGCTGAGGTCAGAGCTCTGGGGAGTCCCGTGATATTTAGGACGTAAAATTGGACTTGGTGAATGATTGGATGTGGCGGTGCTGGGGACGGGAGTGGGGGAGTAGGTGAGGGGAAGGAATTCACTAGGACTTGAACTCCTCCTGGATAGGGGACCCTTCTCTTCTATCCCCACCACCAGCTTAGACCTCAGCCAATGTGTTTTGTGAAGGAGTCACTTTGGACCCTTCTTTGTTCCTGCCCTGCCCTTCAGATAGGGATGGAGGAGGCAAAGGATCAACCCCTAAACTCCTCAGCCTTTGTCCATCCTCCTCTATCCTTTCCCTTAATTGCCTTCTCTGAATACAAATCATAATATAACAATGACAACCAGTCCCTCTTTCGTCTGGCACTTTAGCATTATCCAAGGCTGTTCACATCCATTCCCGGTTTTGGAGCTAGGAGTCCACAGAAGGGGAGCATCTCGCTCTGCTGCTTGGGGACAGAGCCAGGTCAAGGACTGGAAGGCCCATCGATCACTCGAGCCCGTATCCATTTTACCTGCACTACCTCCCTCGAACCAGCCCCACGTGGTAGACGTCACTGATTCATTTCTGTTTCACAGGTGATAAATCGAAGCCATTACAGTGGAGTGGAAAGAGCCAGACGCATCCAGCTCCGTCAGCTGTGTGGCCTTGGGCAAATCATTCGCCTCTTGGAGCCTCGGTTTCCCAGTCTGTCTCGGTGCTGTGAAGAGGGGGTGGGGGCCTAGGCCTGATGATGGTTCTCATGATTGGCCCAGAGACGGGAAGTGTCCTCTCAAGGTCAGTCAGCAAAGCAGGGGGTACTGGGATCTGGCCCTCCTGACTTCTGAGCCTGTGGGCTGTTCGTCCACTGACCCCGAAAACCTTGGGCTGTGGTGTGAGCACCGGGCACTGGAGACTCAGGGAGGGGGCTCAGCTGGGCAGGGGGTGGACCCAACCCCCTGAAGCCAGAGTCCAATTTCCTTCCATGCCCTCCTTGGCCTGTCCCCAGGGAAAGAGCAAAGATCCATCAGTTAAGGCACCAGCAGGCAGGCGGCAGTGAGAAGGACAAGAGCACCAGCTGCCCAGAGACTCCCTACCGAGGATCCAGGCCAGGGGGGAAGGAGGAGGGCGGGAGGGAGGGAGGGAGGATGGAGGCGGCGGGCAAAGTCCGTGACCAAAGCGTCTGGCACGGTCCGTGGCCTGCCCTCCCCCTTCCCCACGCCTGTCCACGCCAGCTGGGCCTCCTCCCTTGCCACCCGCTTTTCCTTCCGAAGCTTTGGAGGTGTGAGAATCCTTTGACTTGCTCGCCAGCTGGGTGATGACCTTGGGCAAGCCACTCAACCTCCGTGAGCCTCAGTTTCCCCTTGGGTTGAACAGGGGTAGTTAACGGCCATGTCATCGGGTCATGGTGAGGAGCGGAAGAGCTAATGCCCATGAGGGACTCAGAACTGGGACGCGGAATTCCTGATTCCCCTCTTCCCCTGGGGAGGAATGGCAATGTACACGAGTCCCCATCACCCTCGGCCCCCCAAGCCCATCCCTCTCCTTGCTCACAGAAGTGACGTGTCCTTAATAATAATCGCTATTTAAAGCATGATTAATACTTTCCAGGCCCATGCTTATCAGTTTAGGGACATAAACTTGTTTCACTTTCAGAACAGTTTTTCCTACGAGCATGGTATCAGGGCCTTTTCTTACACATGAGGGTATGAGAGGTTCAGAGAAGTCAAGTCACTTTCTCAAGGTCACACAGACATAGGGTGACTGGGTACATTATCCACCAAAACAGGGCACTTTTGGGAATGAAGGGTGACACTAGAGCTGATTCAACCAGGCGCGGCCCAGGCAAAGCAGGGAGTGTGCCATCCCACGTGGGCAGCAGGTGGCCGAGCCAGGATTCTAAGCCAGGCCCTTGGGATCCTTCTCCAGGTTCCAGAAGGGGTAGGAAGGAGAAGCTCTGGGTTAGGACCCTGGATTTGATCCACCTGCTCCCATGACCCCAGTCAAGTCTCATCATCTCCCTGGGCCTCAGTTTCCAGCTCTGTCAAAGGAGAGCAGGGGAGCTGGCCAAGCACAAAGCCCAGATCCACAGCTCTAACCCCCTCAGGGACTGAGGTCCAGAGAGGCTCTGTGATTGGCTCCAGGTCACACAGCCGAGTCTGGGCTGAATGAAGATTTGAGCCCGGGTGCCTTGACTCTGGGAATGTGGTAATTAATGATCAAACAAACACCTATAAAGCCCTCGCTTGGCACAGTGCCTGGCCCACAGTGACCCCTCCCCCAATGCCTGGTATCTTAGCTCTACATGACGTACTCTCGTCCCCCTCTGCGTACCTCTTCCTTCCCCAAGGGCCCGGCCCCTGCTCCTGTCCTGGGCCTTGTCTGAGAGGTGCAAAATGAACAGGCTCTGGCATTTCACAGATCCCGGTTTGAATCCTGGCCCTGCCTCTTACTGTGTGCGCTTAGCCAACACTTGTCCAGTGGAACTTTCCGCCATGGTGGAAATGCTCTAGATCCACTGTCCACGTGTGGCTGGCGGGCATCTGAAAGGTGGCCACTGTGACCACCTTTCAAAATGAAATCTTTTATTTAATTAGTTTAAATTGCAATAGCCACATGTGGCTTGTGGCGACCCCGTTGGACAGTGCAGCCTTTAAACAATGATTTCTAAAAAAAATAAAATAAAAAGTGATTTAACTTTCTCTGATGCTCAGTTTTCTTATCTCAAAAATGGGACGCATAGCACGTACTTGGAAGTGTTGTTTCTTCCTCTGAGAGTTAATAAGCGCTCAGAGTAGCACAGGGCCTAGAGTGAGGTGCTCAGTAAAAGGTGACTTCAATGATTAGCTCCCTTTTGTTTTGTTCTCCCAATCTGGCCGCTTCCTCCCCCTACACCCCCCCCACTCCCTCCACACTGTGTTTGAGAGGTGAGAACTCCTGTTTCCTGTCACCCATGGGGCAGTCGGGCCACAGGAGGGCCTCACCCCTCCAATGATCCGGGTGATCGTCTTTGGCCTCTTCAGAAACTGCACGGCTTCACTGTCAGCCAGGTCCTGGAGGCTTTCAGGGATGTGCATGGCAGCTGCTCTGCTTCTGCCGTCCTGGGGGGTGTGAGCGGGGACGCTGGGTGCCACCGGCTGGTCGCTGCCGTCCAGGGGCTGCAGGCCCACCCTGGGCTCGGCTGCTGCAAGACAAGACGGATGGTGGGAGGTCAGAGTCAGAGGTGTGGGGTGAAGGAGCTGCCAGGGGTCCCAGGAATAGGGGCATGGGGTAGAGGGTTCTGGGGGGGTCCCAAGAATGAGGTTGTGTGGGGTGATGGGTCTACAAGGGCTTGAGGAGTTGGGGCTTGGGGGTGAAGGGGCTGCTGGGGTTCCCAGAGGTGGACGTGCAGGGTGAGAGGCTGGCTGAGGGTCCCATGAATGGGGTGCAGGGTAAGGGAGCTCCTGAGAATTCCAGACATGGGGGTACAGTGTGAAGGAGTTGATGGGGGTCCCGGAATGGGGGATGGGGGACCCCATCCCAGGGGTCAGGAATGCAGGCCGAGGAGGCTGCCGGATGAGGGGGCTGCCTGGGGTCCCAGAGTTGGAGGTGCAGGGTGAGGAGTGGGGGGGGGCTGGGAGACTGGGGTCACATCCCTGACCCAGGAGCCAGGGGGTTCATTCTAAGGACTGTGTTCTCTGGGTGAGAAGCGGCGGGTAGGATTTTCCAGGGACCAAGGGGTGCCAGAATGTAGATCAGAACCCCTGGGAGGTCTGAACCAGAGGAATCCCTTTCAAGGTTTGGGGTGACAGCACCCATAACGGAGAATCCAGGCATCTCAGGGTGTATTTTAGGCCAGCCTCATGATTTGGGGTTATTTCTTAGGATAAGGGCCTCCCCTTAGAATTGAAGTCCATCTTCCTTAGAGTGCATTTCCTCAAGTTGGGGGGGTCTGGACCTTAGATGTGTGGGGAACATGGGCTCAGAAGTGAGCTCTCCCTTCAGAATTAGGAGGTCATGCCCCAGGCACCGGGCTACCTTCTTAGAATCAGAGTCTTCCCTTTAAGGACCTGGAATGGGGACGGTGGGGCTTGGGCGTGATGCTGCCTGACAAAGGGCCACCCCTACTCTGGAGGCCCGATCTTCGTCACCTGGAGGCCGGCTCCCTCCCCTCCTGGTCTCTGGCGTCACCTCAGCCTTCTTTTAGTTCCGCTTTTTCCCGCCTTTTCGCTCTTCCACAGCTGATTGGCTGCGTTCAAGTCCCGCCCCCGCCCTTTTCCCGCCTACTCGGGAGCTGACACGAGCGGGGGCGTGGCCTCAGCGGACGTTGGGCCGCCCGCCGTTGGCTGGCCGCGCGCGGGAGCCCTGCCCCGCCCCAGTCCTCCCCGGAGTCTCGCGCCCGCTCCGCCCCTTCCCTTTGAAGCGCGCAGACAAGGAGACACTTCCGCAGCGCATGCGCTGCACTCAAGGCGAGAGAGAAGAAAGGCTGGCAGATTGCGCACGCGCAATTGAGACAGGGCGGTAGGGAAAGATGGACAGCTTTCGATGACCCAGGCTTTGCGCATGCGTTTTACTGCAGTCTGAAGCCGAACCTTGGGAACCCAGGACGCCTTCTTACACATGCGCAGGAGGCTCAATGACAGTCGAGCGTTGGCTAAGGTGAGGGAGAAGGCGGGGGATTGCATGGCCGGGGGAGGGCCGCCCTGCACCCCCTATGTAGCCTTTCCGAGCATCTCCTATGCTCCTAAGATCCACCTGCTGCCTAGACCCCGCAGAAACCCGTTATGCCACTACAGGGTCTTTGGGCCCGAAAAACGCCCCGGGACTCAAGACTTCTGACCCTTGCCTGGGGTGCGGGCCACATGAGCAGTGTGGGAGGGCACAGGCAAGACGCGCTGCAAGACGGGCAGATGGACTCTGCGCCCTGCCTGGGGTAGGGACGGCCCCTGGAGGTGGAGAGGCTGCGTTTCCTCTAGTTGACCTTTGACCCCTGTCCATTTCCCTCGTTCAGGCTCCAGGGAAAGGGTCTGGCCATGCTGCATGTGACCCGGGGGGTCTGGGGATCCAGGGTCCGAGTATGGTCCCTGTTGCCCACGCTCCTCGGGCCCCCCCGGGCCCTGTCGTCGCTGGCGGCCAAGATGGGGGAGTACCGCAAGATGTGGAACCCCACGGAGCCCCGCGACTGGGCCCAGCAGTACCGCGAGCGGTTCATCCCGTTCTCCAAGGAGCAGCTGCTCCGCCTCCTGACACAGGTACCGCCCGTCCCGGGTCTGAGAGCCTGGGGACTGCGACTCCCGGCAGGCATCGCGGCGGCCCAACCCTACGTGCCATAGAGGGATGTCCTGGCGCCTCCTGGGAGTTGTAGTTCCCGTCCCCTTTCTACTCCCAGGTGGGCGTGGCGTTGGAATGCAGGGACAGACCTGTGAGATGCTGATGTAGCAGCAATTCCGGACTCCAGCTTGTGCTGGGGGCTTGAACAAGCCCTCTCTGGAGCATGGTTTTTCCCTCTGCAAAATGGGTATAATAATCATCCTCATCATTACTATTACTACTACCTAATAATACTTATTATACTAGCGACGCTGTAATCATAGTCATTATCACAGTGTTTGAGCTCTTTACTGTATGGCACAGTGCCGGGTATTTTCCACGTCTTGTTGAATCATCAGAACAACCCAGTAAGACAGAGACTACCATGGTCCCTCTTTTACAAATGAGGTGACTGAGGGCGCCTGGGTGGCTCAGTCGTTAAGCGTCTGCCTTCGGCTCGGGTCATGATCCCAGGGTCCTGGGATCGAGTCCCACATCGGGCTCCCTGCTCAGCAGGAAGCCTGCTTCTCTCTCTCCCATTCCCCCTGCTTGTGTTCCCTCTCTCGCTGTGTCTCTCTCTGTCAAATAAATAAATAAAAATCTTTAAAAAAAAAAAAAAAAAAAAATAAAAAAAAAAAAAAAAAAAAAACAAATGAGGTGACTGAAACAGGAGAGGAGAGAAAGTGACTTAGTCAAGGCTATGTCGTTGTGGCCCAGGTTAGAACCAAAGTGGTCTGACTCCAGAGCAGGGCAGGGACTGTGGTCTCTCCTGAGGCATTAGGCACCTCCTCCACTGAGAGTCCAGCTCCAGAGCTAAGCTCTTACCCCACTCTCATCATCCTACTTGTCATTATTGAGGATTATCATTCATTCATTTAAAAATTATTTATTGAACACCTCTGTATGTACTAAGGCTTATGCTAGACTTTATCCACAAGCACACACGTAGATATCAACACACACAAATACACGTGTATGTATGTGGACACAGAATTGCTTCACATTCTTACCATCCATCGCTCTCTGAGAAAGAGGGTGTGATCCTCTGTTGCTGATAAGGGAACAGGCTCAGAGAGGTGAAGACATTCATCTAGGGCACTGAGGTAGGAAGCATAAAGAAGCTGTTAAATATGTGTGTTCTGGAGTCAGACAGGCCTGGATCGGAGTCTCAGCTTCTTTTTATACAAACATTGTGGCCCTCAGCAAGTGACTTCCCCTGAGCCTCAGTTTCCCCTTCTGAAAAACGGGGGTTATAATTCCAACTATCTCCGTACAGCCTCTGGAGGATGATAGCCCAGTGAGCAGCAGCTGGTACACAATAAGCATTGTGTGAATGTCAGCGAGTGAGTGTCAAAGCGGGAACTTGACCTTCTAGCTCTTTCCACTGTCTGTTTTCCGCTACACTGGGCTGGCTCAGTTTCTTGGTCAGTAAGATTGGCTGCCCCCCGCCCCAAGCAAAAGAAAATCTTAAAAAGCCCAGATTGTATGGACTGCCAGAGAAAGAAATCCTCCCTGTGAGGAAGGGGAAAGAAACCTAAAGAGAAGTTTTGCTTCCTGAGGTAACAGGAATTCCACTCCAGTCCTGCAGAGAAGGCAGCTTTGGAGGAGTTTGCGGCCCACGTGGACTTCTGCACCTTGTTCCACTACCACCACATCCTGGCCCGGCTACAGGTGAGGACCTGGCGCCTTCCTTGGTGTGCCTGTTTGCTTATCCATTCATTCAGTAAAAATCCTCTGAGCCCCTCCTTGGAACCCGACCCTGCTCTAAGCATGGGGGATGCAGCAGTGAGCAGGACAAATGAAGCCACGTCCTCATGGAGCTGACATTCTGGTTGGGGAGACAATGAATGAATGAATGAATGAATGAATAAAAAATGGGATGACCCAGAACGGTAAGTGCTGTGAAGAACAATGAAGCAGAGTAGCAGGATCGAGAAGGATGACATGAGGGCCTGTTTTAGACAGGGTGATCAAGGAAGGCTTCTCTGAGGAGGTGACAGGTGAGTTAAGACCTGGGTGAAGACAGGGAGAGAGGCTTATAGATATCTGGTGGCAGGCGGGTGGCGGGGGGGGCACATTCTAGGCAGAGGGAAAAGCAAATGCAAAGGCCCTGAGGTACAGAGAGTTGGAAGAACAGGGAAGGGAGCACTATGCCTGGAGGGCAGTGAGCGAGGGAGAGCGGGCAGGAGATGAAGGCAAAGAGGGGTTGGGGGTAAACTGTTGCCTGGCCCTGTGGGCAGTGGTAAGGACTTTGCTTTGACTTTAGGTGAACTGGGAGCCAAGGGAGGGCTCTGAGCAGAGGAGGGACATGTGCTGATTTAGGTGTTAACAGGCTCCTTCTGGAACAGACTGTCAGAGGCAGGGAGATCTATTCAGAGTCAATTATGTTTGTCCAGGTGAGGGATAATGGCAGCCCCAGCAAGGGTAATAGTGGTGGAAGTGGGGAAAAGTGGTCAGACGCTGGTAATGGTTGGAAAGCATCAGCATTTGGCTGTATGAGGCGGGCGGGCAGTGAGGGAAAAGAAGTCAGGGGGTGCCTCCAGCAGTTTGGGCCTGCTCCTCCGGAAGAATGGAGCTGCCATTTACCGAGATGCAGAAGACAGGGCGGGGGCGGGAGGCAGATCTCTGGGGAAGACTCAAGCTCCATTTTGCACTTAGGAATCTGAGATGCCTATTAGACAGGCAGGTGGAGAGATGGACCCGAATGTGGGCTCCGGAGGTCACGGAGGGGTCTGGGCTGAGAAACATCCCCTGGGAGCATTTAGATGGTACTAGACGAGAACATCAGGGGGATTAGCTGAGCCCTGGGACGTGCCAGCCTTGAGATCA